ATACCAACTCACACTCATGCACTCCCACACCCACCCACACTTCACACCTACATCCACATCGAGTTTCACTTCATTTCCTTGAATATCTTATTTTTCAGGTCTCATCTGATTCGAACTAAAACTTATTATATCAAATACGCATGTCATGTTTATTTCAAAATCTGAAAAATTGGTATATGTTTAGGAAAGAAAAAAATATCGAGTAGACCATTGTCCAACTCTATGACTGTAGCATGGTGTGGGGTGTGTGGGTGTGGGTGGATGAGCGTGGGTATAAATGCAGACTACTTGCACCTAATACTAATACCCATACCCACACTCACACCCACCCTAATATTCGTATCGACCTATTTTCGCTTTCTTGATATTTTCATCGAATAAGTATTTAATAACATTTTCTTACAAATGAATCAAATCATCCAAGTAATTATTTCGTAGTACAAGGTAATGTGTATAAAGACATTAGATATTGCCGTAAACAAAGACCGTCATTCTTTTCCAAAACAAGAATAAATTGAAGCAAACGTCTTGTATATACTTCCCTTAAATAGATGAAATACAAGTGAGGTTTTTTTTCTTATCCATTGTCGATGATAATTGAATATTTGCTCTTCTAAACAAATGTTTGTCGTTTTGTTTTTGAAAATGTTTTGCATCAAATACACAATCGGTAAAGTTCACTTTTATCATTATGACATATTATATTATGATGGCATCGTCTTATAAACTATTCGTTGGCTTGCCATTTCATAGAAAAATAAAGTTTTTACGCTGTATTATTACTTTTTAGCTCGCTTTTTCTACACTTATATGTTTGATCTGTTGTTACTATTATTTTTCTTTTTGTCTTCTACTAGATTATTGATCAACACAAAGAAAATAATAGAGATCTAATTTAAAATTATAGTATATTGCAACAGAAGAAAATGGTATTACGTACATTGAGCGCTGTTGACTATGTTCTTCTTATTCTACTTCTCCTGTCATCGGCTGTTATTGGTGCTATATTTGGTTTTTTTAAATCAAAAAAAAGTTCAGCTAAAGAATTTATGATAGGTACTTAATTAATAAAAAAGTATTCTTTGATTGAAAACCAAAGTCATTTTTGCTGTTTCTATTGTAGCTGATGGTGGTATGGGAGTATGTATTTAATTATTGCTTTTTCTTGTAGGTTGATTATTCTGTATTCAGGTATTTCCAACAGCTCTTAGTATAATGGTCTCGTTTCTCTCAGCTATTACATTATTAGGAACACCAAGTGAAATATATATGTATGGAACAATGTATTGTTATCAAGGTGAAATATTTATTTGTTTCTACTTTCAGTCTTTAATTTATAACGTTAGCATAAAAAAAATTTGTGCAGAAAGAAGTCATTCACTGATTCGGAATGATTTAAGATTGTATAGGCTCACCGTTTCTGTAAAGCCAGAATGAAGTCTAATTCAGATTATTTTAGCATTTATACTTTACATTCGAATAAAATAAAATTAGATAATGAATATCAATAATTCATTTGAATGTCTCATTCAATATCAGTTTTCTATACTTTAATTATGTTGAATCAAAATACAATTGTTAATTGTTTGTTAAATATAAACGATAATATTAATTTTCTTTTAGCTGTTTCATGGGCAATTGCATCAACAGTCACAGCATTAGTGTTTATGCCTAAATTTCGTGAAATGAATTTTACAAGTGCTTATGAGGTATTTTCTACATTTTCAGGATTTGATATTACATAAAATATTATTTAGTATTTAGAAAAACGTTTTGATCGATCCGTGCGTATGTGTGCTTCATTTGCATTTTCGTTCGGTATGGTAAATAATTCATTGGATCTAGTATTATTTATTTTCCTGTATAAATAGTTGATTTATATGGCTATGGTTTTATATGCTCCTGCATTAGCACTAAGTCAAAGTGAGTCACTTATTCAATATTCAATAAGAAAAAAACTAATGAATCTAAAGAAACAATTTGTGACAGCACCGAGCATTTGAGGCACTGGTCAAAATTTAAATTTTTTTGATTTTTTTATAGTAATCAGAAGGTCCTTATCTACAACCACCAAATCGAAATTTTTAGCTTATTTGGATGCTCTATAGTAAATTTAACCTAGATCAACTTTTCAGCATCACTTACCTACTATCCAAAAAATAGTGATAATTTATCGTATAAATGTCTACTAAGATTATACTTGAACAATTCAGAAAATTATTTACTCAAATTATGTAATATATCATAAGTGAAATATGTCGTAATTTATGAGTTCGAAATGACAGATTTTTGACAGCATATCTATTTCTACTTTTTTAAATGGACAACGGTCATGTTGAATATCATATATATGTTATGTCACTTTTTATTCTCTACAAAATGGTGAAAAAAATGCTGGAGAAAAAATTTCACTTTCGAGATAAATTGGGATTTACATCTCTCTTTCACGTAGTGGTTTATTATCAGTTTTCAACAGAAAAAAGCAGGGTGTAGGAAAGTATTGGTCTGTAGGTCTTCTGTGTATCCCCACACTTACATCCATATTGTCAAAAATCTGTCGTTTCGAACTCATAAATCACGACATATTCCACTCATGATATATTACATAATTTCAGTAAATAATTTTCTGAATTGTTCAAGTATAATCCTAGTAGACATTTATACGATAAGTTATCACTATTTTTTGGATAGTAGGTAAGTGATGCTGAAAAGTTGATCTAGGTCAACTTTACTATAGAGCATCCAAACACGCTAAAAATTTCAGTTTGGTAGTTGTAAACAATGACCTTTTGAATGCATATAAAAAATCAAAGATTTCAGTTTAGATTAGTACCTCATATTAGTAGAGCGATCCTTGGTCCTGTCACAAACTCTCTCTCTTAATTTTTCTAGCGACTGGTTTGAGTATTTGGCTTTCTGCCGTTTCGATGGGTGTAATCTGTACATTTTATTCATCAGTGGTATGCTAGAAAGTAGAGAAAAGATAAAAAAAGAAAATTTAGTTGACTTTTATTATAGGGTGGTATGAAAGCAGTCATTTGGACAGATGTTTTACAAGCAATAGTTATTCTTGTTGGTCTTCTTGCTACTATTATACAAGGTTTGAGAAATTATTAGCAAATATCTTAAAGTTTATTTAATTTTATGTATGCGAATATTTAGGTATTATAGCAGTCGGTGGTATTGAACTAACATTCTCAAAAGCATCAAAAGGTGGTAGAATTCAATTCGACAGGTATTGTATTGAAGAATAAGCCTTTTAGACTTGAACAACTATAGATCGAGCTATTTCATGGTATGCTTGCGATGATTCGGTAAATTTTCGAAAGGAAACAATTTGAATAGTCAAAATGGGTTTATTTCACTATCGAATATCTATGAGTAGGGATGCATAAAATGCAATTCTAATTCTTCGCTTGAATTCAATTTGACTTGAATCTGGAATACCTCCACAAAGACTTTAGGTATTTGGTATGAAAACTGAGAGTGCACAGCTGTACATACTTACAATTGACCAATTAGATTCCAGGAAGCTCATGCTCAGCTATTGTAAAGATGAAAGATACTGTTGTTCGGACCAACTAGAGGGTTATCCGAGATCCTCTGTCGTATAAATCAAACAACAGTAAGTTTCATCCTTACTATAAGTTGAGAAACAACTTTCAGAAATCTGATTGGTCGATTCTAGGGGTGTGCTACTTATGCTCACCGTAAGTGTGAGCTGTACACTCTCAGTTTTCATATCATAGACCTAAAGTCTTTGTGAAGGGTGTCAGATCCAGGTCCAATCAACTTCAAATCTAGTAAAATCCTATCAAGTCTAAGAATTGGATTTGGTACACTTCTACCTGTGATTTAGACTACACAATATAGTTCCATTTTTCTTATTGAAAGATAACGCTGAAAAATGAATGATTTCCAATACAATGCATCTAACAAAACATTTTAAAAGCAAGAAAGTAATTGAGGTAATCCGATTGGTTGCCTATGCCAGTTTTATCTGTGTACCGAATAACATATCACAGTTATGAAAGATATTCATGGAACGTTTACCAGTACTATTCAGTTAAATTTATCTACAAAAATGTGCGCCGTTCTGTGAATAAGAATGGATGAAAAAAAAAATTTCGATTATGAAGATAGTGATTAGTGTATTCTATACTACTATATGAGAAGAGAGTATGAATAAATTTTTCCGACTACCTCTAAAAAATTGGTTGAAATACGAGAGTTTTTGTGTACAATACTATTTAAAGTCAAGGTCAAATGGTTTTGATAATAGTCGCCCAAGTTGAATTTTTCAACAGTATTTTAGATTTTAACGTTGAGCTTTGTCTTTGTAATGATAAATCATGTATTACCTAGAATTAGTCGCTGAAATAGCATGATTTTTCTTAAACTATATTAGAGAATGTATATAATTAGAGACTTGTTTCTGTGAATTTAATTATCTGTGAGACACAATCTAGGATTAATTCTCATGACTCTTGATAGCTCCTTAAATTTGAAATCAAGTAATACATTATGTATTTACTTGAGCTTTAGTTGTGATGCAGTGATGCACATAATTATCTTGCGTGACATATTCACACTAATTTTTCTTGCTGTCACGAAACATAAGCTTTTTGACCTTGATATTTTAAATGAAGGTTGACCACAATGAGTAAGATAAAATATTTAAAATTTCATCTCAACTTTTTATACCTTAAGAGAGTTGTATGCCCAACAAGGTAAAAAATCTTGCTAGATAGAAAATCGAGATATCGGTGTACATTTAATATTGAGAAAATAATGTAACAAAAACCGTACTGAAAATATTAAACTTTTACGTTCACAGGTATGACGGTACAATAAAGTTGCAATTCACTCATATACATTTAATCGGTTAAAGTTGTTGTTATTCTCAGATAATATAATGACAGGGCTTTTCGTCGCACAAACAGAACTTTGAAATAATTTTTCTGGATACGGAGTTTGGGTATTGATGATGCTGGAGGAAGACGCCGCGTCCATCAGCCACATCCACTTTCTGCTCACGCAACGATTCGTTCGCAACAGTTTGACCTGCGATGAAAAGTCTAGTCATCATGTAATGATTATATCTTAAGTTGTTAAAAGTTTGTTTTTCTTTGTGCTATTTTAAGTGGCAGTTTTGATCCTCGCGTTCGTCACACAATCTGGTCATTACTGATTGGTGGTTCGCTTAATTCTTTATCTATGTATAGCTTTAATCAAACTCAAATACAACGTTATATGTGTGTTCGAACAACACATGGTGCTAAACAAGCATTATTTATAAATGCGGCTGGAACAGCCCTTATTATATTGTCTTCAAGTCTTATTGGAATTATTCTTTATGCATTTTATGTAGATTGTGATCCATACACAGCTAAATATGTTTCTGATATTGATCAAATATTTCCATATTTTGTTATGGATGTATTAAGCAGTAAAAAAGGTTTACCAGGAATATTTCTAGCGTGCGTTTTTTCTGGTTCATTATCAACAATATCATCTGGTTTAAATAGTCTTGCAGCAGTTGTTATTGAAGATGTTTATAAAGGTTTAATGGGTAGAACTTTAAGTGATGAACGACAAGGTTTAATATCAAAAATCTTTTCAATTGTATTAGGAGCTGTAGTTATGTTATTAACATATGTTGTTAGTTATCTTGGATCAATACTGAATGCTGCATTATCATTATCTGGTGTCTTATCTGGTCCAATAACGGGTGTTTTCTTTCTTGGTTTCTTTTTTCCACAAGTTAATCGTCGTGGAGGTTTAGTTGGTTTTCTAGCAAGTCTGTTTGTACAATGTTGGATATTTTTGGGAGCACAACTAACAAAAAAACAAATGAAAAGTGCACGTTTACCATTATCAGTTGCTAATTGTCCTACTCCAGTAAATATTACAATATCACTAACAACATCAATAAAGTCAGATTTAGAAAAAAAAAATTTTTTCAATCAAATTCTTATTTATTTATTTCAGAGCTAATCCATTACTTGGTTTTTATTCCATTAGCTATATGTGGTATACACCAATAGGTGTTACTACTGTTATAATTGTTGGAGTTATTGTATCTTATTTAACGCGTCCACTTAAATCAAATGAAATCGATCCAAAATTAATAATACGTATTAGTAATGTAAATTGCTGTTGTTTACCTAAATGTATACATGATTGGATTCGATATGGTGTTAAAGAAGATGTTAATTTGGAAAAAAAGGTTTGTTTATTAATAAAGAACATAATGTAAATTTAAATCATTTTGCTTTCTGCTTTTATTGAAGAATAATAATGATATTAAATCGCTAACATCAGAAGAAAACAATATATTTCATAGTAATAATAGTGCACAAACACTTAACACAGCTACAAAAGATCTTATTCCGTTGAATGTCGTAATAGAAAACAAAATGGATAATTCGTATGATAATCCAGTAATAACAATGAAAGATTAAACAAAGTTCGACTTGTATTTCAGATTATATAGTAGATATTCATTTACAAAAAAACTTTTACAAATGAACCAGGAACTATTCAAAAGTATCAACACAATCTTTGTCAAACTATTGGATAAATTCATAATGTTGAATAATGTTTTATAAATAAGTGTTTATGAATAATGTTGATGTAAAGCAAATGAGAAAGCTAATGATCTTTCTCAAAATTTTAGTTAAGAGTTTTAAAAGAATAAAAGGGCATTTTTTTTTAATGATTCCATAGAGACGAATATTCAATGCATTCTTAACAAAGTAGAATATTCGCTGATTATTTATTGAAAATTTCTAAACTACACTGATGAAAAACAATTCAAATTTTATACTAAACGAAATAAAATCAAGAAAACAATAATGAAAAATTTCACATTGTTGTTAAGTTAGATTAGTTTATTTTATAAGACAAAATCTTGTCATTGTCCACTCAAACTAGTATTGTTCGCTCTTCATGGATTTTTGATAACAAATGATCAGAGATCATGTCTTATTCAACTATCACTGATTATTTTGGTTATCGTTACAACATCTTTTGCTAAACTATAAGCATCCATCAGCTATGCTAAGTCATGTATAAAATTATACTTCGAAGAAAAACAATACATATCTCAGTTTAGTAACAGGTGGGTGTCGGTGTGGATGTTAGAGTAAATGAGAGAACTGATTACTCACACTCACACTCACACCCACACCCATCCTCCGTGGAAAACAAAACGACCCATTCGTTTACTGTTGACGAGCATTTTTCAGCAATCAAATGGATCAAATCAGTAAGTGCCGTTGGCTGACTCAGCTCAACTTGAAGAAAGGACAAATTTTCGTCTTCATAGCATGACTGCTTCGAGTTACATTGGAGCAATTTGATGATCTTTTTTTCTCAAAAGATACAGTTGATAAAATCTGGAACGAGAAACTAATATGTGGAGGTATGTACCATTCAGAGTCGATTTCTCCAAGTGTACTTGTTACTCATACACAGCGGTCAACAAGGCGAGAGATCGTGCATCAGAACAGTAGGAAGCACAGACAAGGTCACACAGCACTTGGATAAACGAGGAGAACTTCTAGGTATACAATCTTTTAACAAAATGTCTCAGTTCAACAACAGTGTGTGCGTGTTCTCCTTGTAATAAAATACAAACGAGCAGGTGGTGTTCATTCGTTGGAAGACTATCACTCAATTGTCAGAAGAAAGTTGAGTTCTACAGACTGATCAAACTCGTTCGACTCCCAATATATGTATTTGAGAGATCTGGAGCCACAAGACACATTTCTTCTCAGCAACTGAGCCTTCATTGTGATCTGTTCAGAGTTTATTTTAGCTCGTTTACTTGAACGAAAAAAGAATTAACATTGTGTTAGGGAGAAAATGAGACATCAGATTTGTTTGTTCTCTCGGAAGGACAATGAAACACAAATGGGTTCTGTTTTGAAGGTGGAGATAGAGCACTGCTGTTCATTCTTTCCACGTTTCATTGCTGAGTTGGATTGCATCGAGAATAAACAACGGATAAAACCATTTGTCCATTGAGTTGAATAGCAGGACCATTCGTTAGTATCCCTTCATTGACAAATCCGAGTCTTTCTGGAATAGCTCGAGACTTGACATTATTGACACCACAGTGAATTTCTACTCGTTGTACATTCCAGACTTCGAAAGCAAATCGAAGCAAGTCTTCCACTGCCGCAGTCATCAATCCGCGTCCTTGATGAGATTTCGAGAGCCAATATCCAATATCGGCACAAGACGAATTCTCATCTCGTGTCAAACGGCATCGACCGATCAGTTTTTCGTCCAACCACAATCCGAATTGTAGCGAATTTCTCTTTGACATTATCCATCTTTTTTGAAGATCTTCTCGCGTTTGAATTGAATCAATGCCTGGGATGTGTTCACGAAGATAGTCTCGATTCAGCTCAAACAATTCGTACAGTTGCTCCAAATGCTCAGGCTGCAGCAATTTGAGAAATGCTCCTTTTATAGGCAAACAACGATGTGTCGTGTCTGAAGACATTGCCCTAGTCAAGATGAGATATGAAAAGAGTTTGTACCCGTAGCGGTTTCTGATGCGTTGAAGAACGTCTATTCGTTTAGAAGATCGATCGAAGTTATTTCGATGCTTTGTAATCACTTTGTTCAATCTAAATTAAATAGCTTTTTAATCGATGTTAGCAAATCAAATGCATCATATAGACTACTGAAAACGCAGCTAAAGTCCCAAGAAAAGAAGCACAATCAAGCGTGATGAATTTCACAAAATATTCATTAGATGCATATCTACTATCTATCTCGAAACACCAATCAAATGAAATATACTATCTCTGAAACTCGAATCACACGATTTGTGTTCAACGGGATTAACGCCAGAAGAGTTATTGAGGAGAGACAACTGAGTCGCTCAATTACGTTTTGACAGACAATAAAATCAAATAGTTCTTACTCGATAAGTCGACAAAAGGTCCACACTACGAATGAGTGTTTGATAGAGATAAGACACAAATTTTGCTTGCACACCTTTGTTGACTTAAATAGAAGGTAGATAACATCAGGCCTACACAACTTTCAAGAAAGAAAAGAAAAAAGAAGAGGCTGCGTCTAATTTCTTCTTTACACATAGGTGAAGCGACACTTTGTTCTTACTCCACAAATACTTCGACTACGATCTTTTAAACATGAAAAATGCTTTCGATTCAATGTTGAACATTCGCACTCTATCCGTGTTCCATTCGAGTCTTGATGAAATCTAGTTTTGATAAGCATTGAAACTTGAGGGAACTAATCAAGCCATCTTCCGTTTTCTCATGCTCAATGGAAACCAATCTCTCAAATTTTACGAAGAACTCGAGCAACTTGAACACTTATTGACAGGCGACCATCAAGTCTTCATTCAGTGCAATACTCGAAGTTGATGGGACAGATCGACGTTGCTTTCATGGAAGTGCCTTCACATCAACAGATAAAACTCAACATTGATGACATTCCTCAAGCTAAAATTAACTCTAAAAAGCCTTTTCTAATTGTTGTTCGCTTCAAAAACCAAATCTGAATGAGCAGGGAACACATGATTGATCCAAACTGAAAGTCAAGTCTCCATTTTTAGGATCGTTTGCACAATAATTTTCCTTCCAATGAATGACGTCAAATGGACGAGCAAAACAAAGTAACAATAAAGAAATAAATCCGAGTAGAACTTCTCATTTCCAGTATTTCTCATGATAGTTTGTTGCAAAGTTTTCGAACATAGATGCAAAAGAGAATGGCCTTCTATCGTCTCTGATTATGGTCATCATTCATTCTTGTGATTGTCCAACATGTCAATCTCGTCTAATTGATTGTTTTATTTCAATTTCCTTCCATAGAACGAGCACGTCGGTTAATCTAAACAGTTCGATTTGATTTATTCGAAGAACGAGTGTAACAGTGGTGAACAAGGGTCAGTTAAAGAATGAGACTGATCATTCGAAATTGTATCATCGATATTTAGTTCATTTTTTTGGTACCGACCAGAGCGCTTTTCGTTTTCCGTCGGTCTCCATTCACTTTCTGGTTGACTGGCATAAGTCAACATTTGTGGATAGTGTGGCATATTACCGATTAGGGTGTGAGTTTGAGTGTGGCGCTTCTGCTCATGCACACCCATGCAGACACACACACACCCTTTTTTATTTATTACATCTTTTGATTTTCGCTTTTAAATATTAAAATATAATTTTCATACAAATCATGATATACTGATCAATACTCAAGAATATTTGCCATTCTTAGACAATATGTGATCGAGGTAAATAAAAAAAAGAGAAATAAATGAAAAAACTTTTCATTTTATAAAACAATACTCAACTTACAACAAAAAAACAACACTTGCGAGAACATCAATAGGTATGTTATTTTTTTCTTGTTGTTATGCATCATTATTTTGACGTTTAGCAATAGTAGAAATCATAGGTCCTGCTAATGAAACTAAGGTCATAGGAAATGACATTGTTCCTGTAACTTTATCAATAACTACTTTAACAACAGGTGTAGCCATATGTTGATTTTTACCACCTTGTTTTAATGCTCGATATATTTCTTCTTCTTTTTTATTTAATCCAAATGATGATGCACCATAACCAAGATCATCAAGTACTTCAAATGCATGATAACCAATTGTAGCAAATAGAGACATTTGATTTTTATATAAATCAATTAATTTTTGTTCTCGATCATTTCCACGACATGTTTTTGTTATAATTAATTGTCGAAGAAGAATAAGATTCATAACAGGAAACGTAGCCGATTTAGAAGTATCACCAAGTTCATCAAGACATGAATTAACTGGAACAATATAAGACATATCACGCTTACATTCAAGTGCACGATAAAGAGGTATTGGTGGTGGAATAGGAGCTGAAGCATTAGCTGGAAGAGGATGTGAAGCACGACGAGAACCAAAACATCCAACACCTTAAAAAAAACATATTATTCATTTACGCTTTGAAAAAAAAACATTAAATTGAATTAAATTATACCTGATGAAGATGGTACAATGTCTACTTGTTGAACATTTGTATTCATAGTTCTTGTTTTAGATGGATAAATACCTGTAGCTGTACCACCTAATAACTCAATGGCTTCATCTACAATAGCGATTTGTTCACGTCGTGGTAAAAATGGCCATCGAGTAATAACATAAAATAAAGCCACCCCATGAGATTCAAGTTCACGAAACAATGATTGTAGTACAGCTGTATTAGCAAATGCACCTGATGTACGACAAAATATTGCCGCTCGTGGAATAATATGTCGATCAAGAAATTTTTCTTTTAGAAATGCATGGGCTTCACGTTCAGTCCATTGTTCAATACCTATTTACAAATCATATCTCATTGTAATATATCTTATGTGTAGAGTCCAAAGTTACAAGTGATTCATCAGCTAAAAACGTTCTGCCGCTTCTTACTCTATTTGCTCGTTCATTAGA